GACACACTCCTCGCCACCTCGCTAAGCCAGTAATCAGACTAGCAGAGACGGAAGGTTTGGTGGGCATGAGGCTAGCAGCAACCCCACCCCGTAAAAAGCAATATATAAACACCACTTCCACTGAAACTTCAAAAAGCTCTTGCTAGAAGTCGCTCTATTTTCCACTGGGAATGTACATGAGTAAAATAAGTTAATGATAACATACATAACAATTTGAATGTACGTGTGGACACACATATACAGGAGGGAGGACTCATCGACCTCTGCAAGTAAAGAATGGCTTCAGAGAATATTCCTAAATGGCTCCAAAAGCAAATAAAATCTCCACAACCTATTATTGGTGAGAACAGATAACCTAGCTCCTTTATTGTGAAATATATTATAGAGATTGGACATAAAATCGACGTTTACACATCTCTTAAACTTATCTATAAAACGTGTTTGGGACAGGGCACATCCTAAAGTTTGTGGAAGTCCTAGATAGCAGTGCATTCAAAACCAATTCGTAAATGGTAAACTTTGTTTTGATACTAGCCAGGATAGGTATATATATATATATATATATATATATACGTCTTGCGAACATGAATGTGTTGAATCACCGAAAGATAACGAGAATTTTATTTCGGAACTCCTAACAACCACTCAGCCTTATGTGTGTAACATTTACACATCATGGTGTGTATATAATACCATATTAACTAATTTATAATGTTGAATATGCATCACATAGTGAAGCAGTATCGACGTAACAAACACATCCTAATTTAAACTGTTCACATAAATCAGTGTTTACTACTTCACTGTAGATAATTTTAATAGAGACTATAGGTATATTCTTTATTGCAACAATAGTCAAGGAAGAAAAGTGAACTAACCATTCACACCTGATCAGTATAGAAAGTTCTTTGAAAATTCTGCTTACTCTAGTACATCACACAGTCGTAGTAGATTATATCAGGTCTTAGTATTGTTTGCAGGTTGTCGGTAAGGTGTTTAAATTCGGGACTAAATAAATGAAGATTTAGATGTATTAATATGGACTGAAATTCCTGTAAATTATGCGTTATCACACCTCCACTGTGTTTTTAAAACTCGATCGGAAATGTTGGGTTTGCTTACCGAGTATATTATTAGCATTCTCTGACTTAGTTTGTGCTTAATGGCTGTTATATTTTTTTAATTTCATTAATTTGTTTTTGATCTTGCTGATTTATCTATCTCTCCACCCTGAGTACACCTTGCTTATATTAAATTTCATCAACGATTTGGAAGGAAGTATCTTTAACACATGGGTAACTGGATAGCTGTCAACAGAAATCTGCGCAACACAATTGTTAAGCCAATAAGTTAGTCATATCTATAGTTTACCTTGAGTAATGTTATGTGCTTAAATACCACTCAACTATTGCCTAGGATATATATTAAAACACTTAGAGATTTGGATGCACCTCACTGGTCAATACTTCTCATTAGAACTTCAGGAAATTCCGTCCTGTAGCTAGTTGTCACTAGCAAGTACCAGATTATTTGCAAAGAGTTGACCAGTGAGTTCCATCAAGTCGGGAGTGAGGATGGAGTTCCCACCGATGACATCGGATGGTAGTCACGCCATAAATCCAGGACTGCTAGAAGTTGAAATTCATGCACTGGGTATTGGATCGGGTCCCACTGAGTGGCTGAGTCGTATACGAGCTAACTTGCCACCCAATGTGGTAGATGCCTACTACCGATGGTTCCCAAACAAGGTTGGCTAAACAACTGTCTGGCAGTACTCTCTGAGGCTAGTTTTCAATGGTTCTCTGACTGATATCAATCAATCCGTGGTGAAACTCGAAAAACAAAACCAAAGCCTTACAAATCAACCCTTGAAAAATTAATCGCATGCTTACTACCAGGATGGAGTTTCTTGGAGTTGTAATGAGAATTCATGTGAACAGTGAGGTGTATCCAGTAGGAATGTGAGGATGGATTTCCCGCCGATGACTCAGAAATGACTGGACACAGTTGTTTCGTCTTAGTTTGAGACTCTTCGTCAGTACGCACCTTCCCCTTACTACACTAACTTGTAGACCCATTCATTCATCATCTAGCAGAATCGAATACTTATCCACTCTTAGGGAAATAGCTCATTTTAAACATACAAGTTATTGTCTAAATAGCTAAAACCCGTCTATAAAGTGCATAAAGGTAATTAACTAACAGTATGTTATGTATATTAACTCACTTATTTGTACAAAAAAAAACAGATAGATAACGATTGTCTTGTGAATATTATATAAGATTCTGTAGATATTTGTACAATTCAATAAAATGCATTATCAATAAATCATAAGGAGAAAAAAAAGCCGAAATGAAAAGAAAGCGATTGTTAATATGTAGCAATAACAATAAGAACAGCAACGTATATACGTATATAGATGACAACGGAATAAATAAGCTACCACCTGAGACTACTAAAATGTAAACTCTATTGAATACAGTATTAATAGTATTCACTAATTTCATTAGAACAGTAACAAACAGAGGAAATCGTCTTGACATAAGTAAACTGAGCGAAGTAATCAAAAGAATTTTCATTGTTTCAATCGTTTGTAGAAATATGCAGTAGTTTTTGTTTTTTTCCAAATGGGTACTGGTGATTTGTGTGTGTCGCGGGGATGGTGGTGAATGAACTGGATTTTGCATAACTATATACACAGAAGAGGAAGAAAAAACAGTTGAGAAAACAAGATTAGTCATCGCTGAGATGATATAAAGGAGTTTTGATTACATTATTGTTATTACTACTATTATTATTATTATTAGTCATGTCATTAGTATATTACCAAGAAATACTGTCATCTGAAGACGAAGAATTGAAAACTGAAAGACGTTGTAAAGAGGATTTATTTCATTTGAGAATGATGTGTTACTCACTTATTTAGACTTTCTACCATCTCTTTCTAAGTAAACAAACACCAGGTATTATTGTTGTTGATGAGAATGTTATTATGTGAAGCCTGTGCTAACAAAAATCACCGATCAGTGAAAAACATTCCCTTTTCCTAATAACAGCATTGATTTCTTCTTAATGAAGAAGAAAGTTTCAATTCTTTGATTTGACACTAGCCAGTAACTAGTGTATTGTGTATGCCTAGTCTATCTCTTTGGTGCAGACTGAATTCTATGAGTCAGTCAGGCCTGCAATGTAGCCACCATGCCACTAGGTGGCTGGCTCACCATCACTGTGCACATTGAATTGTTCATGTTAGATGGTTGGATGCAATCGGAAATAGGAAGTCTTGGATCTAGACCTAGGTTTCGTGCTAGTGTGCAATCACCAGTCAGTCAGTCAGTCAGTCAACAAGGCATGTCTGCTACCACATTGAAGGATCAGTTCATGTCCCATCTAATATCATCAAATCAATGTGTACAGTGATGGTGAGCCAGCCACCTAGAGGCATGGTGGCCACATTGTGAACCTGACTGACTGATAGAATTCAGTCTGCACCAAAGAGATGCGACTAGACACACATATAACACTAGTTACTGACTAGCGTCCAATTCAAAGTATCGAATACAGGAGTCCTACGGGTGGTTAGTCTTGAGTCCGAACAGCTGTTCAGTGCTGATAACGTCTCTGACTCACTGGGTGACGTGAGTTCGAGTCTCAGAAGGGAAATGAGCTGTTCCTTCAATGTAGTTGCAGTTAGACGCCTTGCTGACTGACTGGTGACTACCAACCAGCCAAGGTTTACTATGGCCGATTGCCTCCAACCACTTAATATCATGGAAAGTTTCAAATTCTTTTGGCTGACAAAGATGAAATATGACACTGTTTTGGTTCCTACTCTCTAAAAGTTATGTAAATGAGAAGAACATTTCAAATTAATATTGTAGGAAGGAGTATATTAGGATATTTTACGTGACAGATATTTTGTACACTTTCGTAAAAATGACAGTACATTTTGATTACTGCTTTTATTTGAAGGAAAAATTTTAAGTTTTACAAAAGTTTTGCATGAAATAATGTCATATATATTTCTAATCTTCCAACTTTTCTGGCATTTCTGGTTAAGTTGGACAAATGAAGATGTTTACATTTACGAATTATAATGATCAACACTCAGTGTACATTCATCCACCTTCAGTAATGGTAATTCAAATAGTAATGAAAGATACTTTCATTCTTATTCGGTGATATCATTTGATACAGTTGTTTCCTCACTCATATTAATCCTTTCACAAAAAACAAACAAACAAACAAAGGAAAGTAATCTACAGAGTGGTTGAAGGATTTCATCACGAGTGGACATCGGTTGGTTAGAGAACCACCATTTGAAAACCTGCCACAAGGAGTACTGGACAGCTATTTCCTCCGTCCTACTTTACAACCCGCTCTTCAGCAGTACGCACCCACCAGCATCTTCTGGTTACAAGGCGAATTGGTCGCGCTATTTTGTGCGTAAATTGGCAAAATTTAGAATTCATTGGCCACTGGATCGCGTCCCAGTGGCTTAATCGTCTATGAGCTAGTTCGCCTTGTAACCCGAAGGTGGTGGGTCCGAACCTAAGAGTGGTAGGTTGAGTGGGTGTGTACTGCTGAGGATCCAGTCTGGCCCAAGCACTAGGATGGAGGAAACAGGTGTCTGGCAGTAATCCGTGTGGCTGATTTTCCAATGGTGGTTCTCCAACCAAGTGATGTCAGTGCTCATGATGAAATCCTCCAATTCAGATAATTTAGGTATTTATTATGTCGAAAAACTTACTTTTGTCATTGGGAATGTAACTTTAATTCACAAATAATCTTCTGTCCAATCTTATTTCATTAATTTGATCATGATTCATCACTTGGACTAGTAGTAATCTGCTGATTGGAATAACTTTTATGCATGGACAAGGATCTTGCATATTGTTGTGTTTCTCTGTTCACTAGATCTAAATTATTTGTACTGTTGTGAAATAAAATTGAAAAATTGTCATCTTTTTGAGCCATTGACTTTGAATATAATGGAGGGTTATTCACATGGGAGGAGGTATGGCAAACTTTGGCATGCAAGATTTGGCTGTTCATGCGATAAATGTTGGTGTAGTGTTGTTGAAGAGGATAATGACGACTGATTATGCTCTTGTGATTGTTGTAACTGGTGTTGTTGATAGTACAAGTAGAAGGCTGCTAGTGTGTTTGGCGAAAATAAAGATGATGACCCAGTAGAGAAATTGTTCACCAGCTGCTGACCAGTGTTACTGATAGAAGTTACACCACCAGTGACAACAGGAGGTGCTGTAAAATTTGAAAATGAAGATAACAAATTCTTTGATTTCCGATTCATACTGTCATCAGGATTATCACTGAGACAATCAGAAGTTAAACTACCAACATTAAGTTGATAAGTGGATAATTCAGTAGGAGTTTTAAAAAATGTTGAGACTGTAGATTTTTATTCCCTTGTGTTAACCAATTATCACACGAAGTGTTCTGTAGATCTAATGGATTCTTTTCATTTATTGATTCGACATTAGAATGATTTGTCTTCTCATCCACCATATCTACGAGAGACCAAATTTTTCGTGTTTTCGATTTCTCTGAAGTAGGCGTCGGCAAAGAACTGATGCTGCTGTTGTTGTAATCTAAATTTATGCGTTTCTTCGGTATGGTATCAATTTGATCACAGGGATTTGGAAAATTTCGCAATCTACTAATCTTATTTTTATTCCCCTCTGTAATCAGATTTGTACAACCTTCTTTATTGAATAATAATTTATTACTACTCATTGAGAACTTTTCATAATTTTCTGAATGTTTACTAATTAAATAGTGTTTTAAACCTTGTAAACCAGTAATTGTCTGTAGATCATGTTCGTTGCTGAGTCGATTTTGATTATCAACCGTCGTCGTCGTGGCCTTCGAAGTAACAGTAGAATTGTCAACAAAATCATTATCGTCATCCCCATCACCATCTTCCACAGAATGTTCATCATCATGTTCAACATCCGATGAACAATCTGTCCGTAGATTCCAAGTTACTTTATTCTCCTTTTTCAATCGTCTTCTTGCATTTGCAAACCATGTAGATACTTGAGTTAAACTCATTTTAGTAATTAATGCCAGCATAATTTTTTCACCCTTAGTTGGATAGGGATTTTTCCGATGTTCATTCAACCACGTTTTAAGCATACTTGTTGTTTCTCTTGTAGCATTTTTACGTCGATTAGTATTGGATAATTCTACAGGACAGCTGAAGAGAAAAATAAAAATACGTTTTAAGTAAATACCTATCAGTTGTCAGTAGTAAAGTAAGCTTTACGCCACAAATAAATCAATAGAATACTGATTATCAGTCTCAATAAATCTATTACTTTCCCTCTCTATTAGCGTCGGTGGCTCAGTGGTAGAACGCTGGTTAACTATGCGCGTGGCCGGGGTTTGAGTCCCGGCTGGCCATCGATGCACTACTTTACCTCCCTTAGCTGGTTATAATCCCGATAAAGAGGTGAAGTTGAGCATGAGGCTAGCAACCCCACCCTGTAAAATAAAGAATAAAACCACTACTGCTGAAACTTCAAGCCTGTAGCTCGAAATCGCCTTATGTTCCACTGGGAAAGTAAGTGAATAAAATAAATCTTATTGTGAATCCCGCACTGTTTAATTACACCAAGCAGAGATTCCCTGTAACGCGAAGGTGGTGGGTTCGAATCCCATTGTGGTTTAGTGGGTGGGTGGTTGAGTACTGCTGCAGAGCCAGTCCAGCCCAAGCACTAGGACGGAGGAAACAGCTACCTGGCAGTACTCTGTGCGGCTGGTTTTCCAATGGTGGTTCTCTAACCAACCGATGTCAGCTCATGATGAAATCCTCCAGCCAACCAATCAAACAAAATCCTTTCAAAACCAATACTTGAAAATGTTCTGTTTCACTACTTTGACTTTGTTTGAGTGAAGTCAAGGTTATTCTGGTGGTGTGTTATTCTTGTGGACAGAGTTTTGATCGCAACCTTGTTGGGAATAGTCTTCTTGATTCTCATTCAGGTACTTCTTACACTTGATTCTGGTGCAATAATTCTGTTGTATATTACTTGTTTTGTACTCGGGAAACTATTCGATATGTATAGCTAGCTACCTAGCGGTATTGTCGAGGTAATTTTGCATTTTGAAAAATGTTATTATCATTATGAAATAGTTCATCAGATCTCATCTGAAATAACTGTCTTTTTGATATGACTAGGGCATTTTAGGATTGTGCTTGACTCATAAAGTTTTGGTGAGCTATACAACAGAACACTCATAAACTGGTTTCCTACATTCAGACCACAACACACTGGTTTTGGTAGTTGCAATTACACTTTGATGATAAGTTCCTAAGAGGATGAAATACATATCGTACTGGATTTCACTGTTAGAAATCAACTAACGAATAATATTATAGAAATATTAACGATTCTTTATTTTGTAGGAATTTGATTGGTTGGAAAACCAGATAGGAGTAGTGGACAACGGTTTCGTCCTAGTTTGGGGCTCTTCACAGTGCTCACCCACCCACCAGGGTTCAAATCCAGAGAATCAATTCCCAACCGCTCATATCACTTCTAATTATTATACTAACTGCTTGAAAGACAGGCTTTATGAACGGATTATCATGGATTGTCAGATTCACTTGCAAGTAATTGGAAAATATCATTAATACCGGACAACTGTCTTATGTAAAATACAGTCGTTTCATTACAAAACCATCGTCAGATTAAATAAGGCAAGGAAAATGAGTAAATTTCATTTCAGAGATATTATCTTAGTCAGTAGCAACAACAAAAGAAATTCATCTTAATTGACATACTGTCATTATGTCCATTGAAATCCAACATTTTAAACTTGGTCATTATGTCATTTAACTTCTACAATTATTATTTTAAGATCACAAATGAAGGGTAGTTAACATTTAAAAAGAAAATAATACGACAGATTACTTGCAAGATATTATTTATGAATGGGCGTCGGTGGCACAGTGGTAGAATGCTCGCCACCAACCACGACCCCCATGTGGTCCCGAGTTCTATCCGCGGCGGGCCACCAACTAACTCCTCTCTACACTGCTAAGCCAGTCATAAGTAAAGAGGGAAGATTGGGCGGGCATGAGGCTAGCTGCAAACCCATTCCGTAAAAAGTAAAATATAAACACCACTGCTACCGAAACTTCAAAAAGCCCTAGCTTGAAGTCACTCTATGTTCCACTGAGAACGTACAGGAATAAAAAATAATAAAATAAATTTATAAATGGATTACATACCATGCTCCAGCATAAAAGGTTAACATCTGAGGATCTATGTTAGACGGTAAACCAGTTTTCTGAAGTTGTCGCCATCCTTCTAAATTTTCCTTGAAAAAAACACACAAGAAAAGATAATCAATTAGAAATATTTTTGAAATAGAATTTAGTATAAAGTGATTCGCTTCACATGCCAGAAGTACTGGGATCGTTGCCAAAGATGCTCACCTTGTTACCTTGTCTCTGCTTTTCATACAATGACAAGCATTTTTACGTGGGTGTCTCAGCAGCAGAATGCTTATTAACTACACCACACCCGGCCCTCTACCGATGCACTTCTCGCTACCTCGCCAAGCCGGTAATAAGACTGATAAAGAGGGAAGGTTGAGCATGAGGCTAGCCTATCTTTCATCTGACTATGTAATGCTAAGAGTTTCCATTGTGTATGATTATTATTGTTTGGGATAAAGTGTTTATTATGATTATTATGTATTGTTATTGTATGCATATATTGATTGACTAACTTTTGTTTAAAAATGAACTCCGTGCAAGTATGTTAAAATTATTTCTGTAGATATACTTAATAATGATTTCGGGCTGTGCGCAGCTGAGTTGATGAGAAGCCAACGAAATAAACAGTGATAGTACTATCTTTTTATTCTTCACAAGACACTTGTTCTTGCTTTATTCATGAATTGGCAGGAGTTAGGATTCATGTACTGGCCATCGAATAGGATTTCAGTGGCTTAATGGTCTACCAGCTCGCTTGCTTGCAACCAGAAGGTCCTGGGTTCGAACCCCACTGTGGTGGGTGCGTACTGCGCAAGAGCCAGTTCAGTCCAAACTAAGATGGAAGAAACAACTGTCTGTCAGTACTCCATGTGGTTCTCTAAGTGATGTTGGCTTCTAATGAAATCCTCCAATTTATTCAAATACATCAACAACAAAAAAAATGTTAGAATGAACCTGTGTAGGGGATATTTGAATTTGTGGACATAAGGATTAAAAAAAAGAAGAGTGTTAATTAAATATTGTAAACACCTGTTTAAAATTATCAATAATTACTCCACGGATAAAAACCCTATCATTATTTTGTAATCAGTTATCTCAAGGGATTAAAAAAATTATCTTTTTTTGGGGGGTATGGGGGTGGGATTGAACTGAATGCTATAGAACACAATGAATGCTATAACACTGTCAGAATAATTGATTAAAGTTTCAATTGTAATCGCCATTTTATTTTTCGTCATACACTTATTATGCTGATAGGTGAAATGGGAAGGATGATTTAACTTCTTTTTTAAACGTTTTTGAGAAGTCACTGGTATGTGATTTATTCACACTTAATGATGTTATCCCTCCACCTTCTGATTTAATTCAAAGTCAGATAATAATGTCTGGATTATTATGATTACTACTGCTATTAGTGGGAGTTAAGCCTACAGCACAGCAGTAAAATGCTCGCCACCAACCACGCCCCCCATGTGGTTCGGGGTTCGATCCCCGGCCCGCTGGCCGGCCACTCACACACTCCTCGCTACCCCGCTAAGCCAGTAATCAGACTAGTAAAAAGGGAAGGTTGGGCAGGCATAGGGCTAGCAGCAACTCCATCTCGTAACAAAAAAATAAACACCACTATTACGGAAACTTCAAAAAGCTCTAGCTTGAAGTCACCCTATGTTCCATACTGGGAACGTAAAGAAATAAAAAAGGCCCACCCTAATAAAAACAAATTTTCGTATTCATATTCTAAAGAGGTGTTACTCTGATATCACTTGACTCAGATAACAGGTTAATCAACAACACTTTTGAAACAATTAAGACTATCTTATCTGGTGTTTTTCAACGCATAGTTAGGTATTTCTCTCAGTCTGTAATGAAATTCACACACAGGTCTGTTGAATTCGCACCGCGGTCAAGAAAGCCACCTCGAACAAACTACACACACCTACATCAATAGCTGTCTTCACTCAATACTTCGTTCAGGGCCAGATGGCCGGCCAGAAAAGATCACCAATAGTCAGGGATCTCTGGTAATCAACCAACCAACCAACCAACACAACCCAACAGGAACCGATTGTGCAACAGACATGCAGGAAGAAATGGAGGTGGATTGGATTGTGGCCATACTCTGAGAAGACAAACCATCGAGTGAGTGACATCACACGCCATGCTGTCTCTCTCTCTCTCTCACTGTCGAGTGGAACCGGAATGGGAAGCGACGAGTTAGTTGTTCGTGAGCGTGAGGGTGACATGAAGGACAAGGGGGGAGTGGGGAGGGGCAGGTGATGCGAATAGGAGATGAAATCATGTGGTCAGATGTGGAGCCAGGTGAGAAAAGGATGACGGAGAACCCCGAACGCAATGGAGACGTGTGGCCGAAGCTCTATGTTCCTCTAGAAACTAGAGGAAATAATAATAATATATAACATATCAGTTGATTTTACTGACTTTAAAATAATGCCTGCTAAGCCATGCTACTGGATAAGTATTTAGTCTGTTGACTGAATCCCATCTTTTCCTTTCTTGAGTCGTATCTCAGTAATGGTATCATGATGTGGTTGTTATTGTTGTCGTTGCGAACAGTGATGATTAGAACAATAGATTAGTAAATATACTCGATTGTATTTACGTTCGTGTCATCTCTGAGAATGGAGTTACGTTTTACTGGAAAGGCTAATAAACTCTTAACTAAGTACTTTTATGCCATTGCAAATCCTTGTGTTGTTTCCACCGATGAACACTTCTTCCTTATGGAAAAGTGTAACACGTTTGTTAACCGATATCTCTGATATATATATATATATATATATATATATATATATATATATATATAAGTTAAAAGCTAATGTGTGTTGAGAGTAAAATCTATCTATACTATGTTTGTTGATCGGATTACTCAACTTATCAATGCTGTTTGTATCGGCATACAAACCATCAGAGATTGAAGAGAATAAAATAGATAACATTAAGTTTTCATTGTCTTAAGACATCTCACAGCTGGCGTAAACTAGTCTCATATATGCCTGAGACTGTTTCCAACCGGCCTCAAACTCTTCTAATTCTAAAAGAAGATGCAGGTCATCAGCACAGGATACTGACAGCACTCATCTCTTTCTATATATTTATTATTAATATAACGAAGCTCTTGGGATCAAATTTAAGCCATGGCAAAAAGTGATTGATACGTTAGCTTCTTTGATGTGCAAAAGATATAATTGTAATCAATCTGATTTTGAGCTCACTGAACGTTTTGTTACTTATATATGTCGATTTGTAGAGAATACAAGTAATACATCTGAATCCTTAGTATAACTTACCACGATGACTTGTTGAAGGAAATATCCAAACTACAGCTTATTTGCAACTAGCCAGTTACATTATATATAGTCCAATTAACTATTAAAGTTGGTATATATTTACGGAATATATTCCTATGGATTAGTTAGTCAAAGAAATATTGAACTTTGTAAAAGTGTAAATGGAAAGTTAAATAACACAAGTGTAAATATTCAAGAGTTGATTTGTAAAGATTACATTTTGTTTTTTCGAGTTTCATTACGGATCGATTCTTATCAGTTAGAGAACCGTTGAAAACCAGCCGTAGGGAGTACTGCCAGACAGCTGTTTCAGTTGTCCTAGTTTGATAATCATCGTCAGTAGGCATCCGCTACAAGGGGGGTTTCGAATCCAGGACCTCAACAACGAATTGGTAGAAGTTAGAATTCATGGACTGGCTGGCCATTGAATCGGGTGGGTTCTAGTGAGTAGCTGAATGGTATACAAGCTACCTCGCCTTGTAACCAAAAGGTTCTGCATACTGCCAATGATTCCTAAACTAGGACAACTGAAACAACTGTCTGGCAGTACTCCTTATGGTTGGTTTTCAATGTTTCTCTAACTGATATCAATCAATCCCTGATCAAACTCGAAGAAAAACAAGTGTAAATTACAAAACTTGCATCTTATTCTTTCAAGATAGATCATACATTTTTCTAATAAAACTCTACTACTAAGACAAAAGCGAAATCTGAATTTGCTGTTATCTTTGATTTTTATGTTGTTAGTTGTAGTTAGGACGATAGCAGCGCATTGTTGCTAATGGCAACCAGGTATTGTTACAAGCCGTTGATAAGTCATATATATAAGTAAGTATAATGCCTGTAGTCACATTAGAGACGAACACATTATAAAAATTCGAAAATCCTCTGTTACGACTTACAACTAAAAGGTTATTCATAATTGCAGGGAGATTGAATTCATTAGCACTATTTTCTTGATGTACTTTTGGAGTAGCAAAGTTCTTGTTGTTATTATTATTATTACTAGTGACAGTCTCGTTTGCAGGTGAAATAAACTGGTGTGATAAATCTCCTGAATGTATCCTTCCCAAAGAATTTGATAAAAATAATGACGATGGTAATGGTGGTATGGTAGATGACGATGAAATTGTTGTCGATGTTATTCCTGATGATAGCGATTCACATGTCGGTAGTAATGAACGTTGTTTTAACAAACTGGGAATTGAATGACATTGAAGTAGAGATTGAAATTTATCTATTGGTGTATTTGTAGAATGGTTAACCGTACTGGTACTTTTATTGTTTAAACCGTACAAACCACTGGCAATCAAAGATGAATATGCCATAGACAAAGCATTCCAAGTGGTCTGATTTTGTATAAAACCGCCTAAATGTTCAGTATGCTCAACTTCACTTTTGTTGATACTATCAATATTATGATTTATTATGCCTGGAAAAAGATTTTTTCCAGGAATTGACTTCAATGATGAAAATGTATCTTGTGTAGACATTTCTTGATTTACTGTTTTCTCAGTTTTACCCAATCCAGTGTTATTGATTGTATGATTTATGAAATTTAATAAGGGTTTGTCGAATTGGTCATTAGTATCTGAGCATTTGTCATTTGTAAGATTGACTGTATTAATGCTTGTTGTTGCTGCTGTTATTGTTGAGTAGTCTTTATACTCACCTGTTAATGAGAATGATGATGATAATGATAACGGTGATGATGATGTCATCTCTTTTGGGATATTAATATCGACACTCTCATTACTACTACTGTTATCACTACAATTTCCTCTGTCCATATGAATTTGACTAAAGTCTGAATATGAACTCATTTCACCCTTTTTATTCACCATAATTGATGGAATTGCTGTTGTTGTTGATGTTGTTAATGTCGGTGACAAACTTTTTTGGTCTTCGTCACACTGTTGATGTTGTTTTTGTTGTTGTTGTTGTTCATAGTGTGGTGGTACAGAATCGTCAGATTTCAACGTTGTTAGGATTAAATTTGTTGTCGAGATTGAATTGTCAAAGTTAAATGTACTTGAATTACTCTGGGAGAATATCTAAAATTTATAGTAATTAGTAACATTGGTTAGATACCTTTTAACATTAAAAAAAACAATATTAAATATGCAACGAGTTAATAACTTTTGTTCAAAGTTCATATATGTTGATATTTTTGTCAAAAAATTTCGACGTGTGAGTTATAAAATGCCTACAGTAAGAATTTAGTTTGTATCACTAATGTGTATGTATATACTTTACTCTGTGTACATGTAATGTATACCAGGTAAATGAGTATAATTAATGATCTTTCTAAAGTTTTTACAGACAGTGATGCAAATTTTTTTATGTCAGTAGTTTAGGCAAACAGGATTATACAATCTTTTCGCTATGAACTGCCTTATATATATATATATATATATATATATATATATATATATATATATATATATATATATATTCTGTTAGCCTAACATTATTATTATTCCCCTGGGTGCCGAGTGGGACATAGAGCTTCAACAACACATCTCCACCTTGTCCTATCTTCTGCTATCCTCTTCAGCTGGCTAGCTCCACGATTCCCCACTATCTCTCATCTCCTTCTCACACGATCTCCTCCATGTCACAATAGCACCAACGACCCACTCCTCGCTTCCCATTTGGATTCCCCTCGAGCTATGTCCTGCCTTGCACGCGATGTCATTCGAAGATCCCCTTCCTCAATGTGTATGCCCAGTCAACCCATCTCAAATTTTTCCTACATATCTGTTGAGCAATCGGAGGCTGTTGGTTGGTTATAATATATTCCAGAAAATTTCAATTGAGAAACACTATGTCTGATTCTAAGAAATTTAAACCTTCCATAAATCAAAATATACAATTCGAAGGGGGAAATTTTCCCATTACAGTTTCCCTGAGATAAGACCACTGTAGGATTTGATTTACTTGATCTCATAAATGGGGATCAAAAACTGTATACTACTGATTGATTGATTGATTGATATGAATAGTAGTTGTATGCCATTCATATCGACCAAACTCAATCGGATGACTTGAACTGATTCGGCTGTCTTAAGCCAAATTACACTGGGTGAACTTCTGGTGAGCTCGGAGTCAAAAGAGCAAAATGGTCGTCCAGTGTTTATAGATTACCTCGATTTGGCTTGCTAGCTAGGCAGCTAGCTAGCTATGCGTGGTACACAACTAGTCATCTCAGTCAGTCCCACTTACTCACTCATTCGTACATAAATTTTATGATCAATCAAAGGTGATTACAAGATGAAAGCTAATTGAATATAGTAAGTGACACTTCTGTTAAGTGAAGATGACATACATCACTCTTTACCATTACAATTAAATGATTCTCTTAATGTAGAACTGAAATTTCTCAGCACAATGTGATGCTAAATACGAAAGTATTGCTAAGAGATGCAAGTGGTGAATACATATTTATTTCTACTTCAGGCTACTTTAGCAATATATATAAGTGTCCATCACTATTTGCCTGGTGAAATAAAAATAGTGTACTGCATACTGTTGAAGAGTCCCAAATTTGCACAGCGGAAACAGCTGTCTAACAGTATTCCCTGCAGGTTTTCCAATGGTTCTCTAACCAACCGATGTCAGCTCATGACAAAATCCTCCAACCAAAAATAGTGTAGATTGTGAATGGGTTCCCTCGAATTTCGATAAAAGACCTCGTGACCGACATGTCTCAGTCTGATACTAAATAGAGGCGATCCTTCTACCATATAGTTACGGGTCAGTAACTTCGCCATTTTTCAGTTGCATATTTATGCATGTTTATCAAAAGTGATACACCATGATCAGCCTAAAAATGTGATAGTAAGGTAGATTGAGATCACAACTTTGAAAGGCATATTTCTGAAGGAAGTCCAGGTAAATTTATCCTATCTAAGAGATAGGTTCGTCTGTCAAATGTATTATTCACTATAATCCAACTGTATGACATTTGAAAATAACCTTTAAGATGTCAACTATACATATTACATGCATAGACTTGTTTGCTTGCTCAGTATGTATTAAAGACCCTTCGAATAAAAACGAAGTACTATATCTCTTTCTCAGACATATAGAGTAGGCAAACAAAATGACTTTATTTACTGAAAATTGATAGAATAATGTAACCCTGGGGATAGATTATCATATAACTATTTAGTTCATTCAACCCTGCATCATGTCTACTTGATGCCGATGTAACTCCATTATGGATAAAATTTTATTTTGATAAAGTCTCACATTGTTTGTTATACAATGATATTTACTGATAACAACGTTTCGAGCACAATTTATTGCTCATAATCATGTCAAGGTACATGTATATATCCATATAAATGAAGCAAGAAAGTTATGCGAGTACGTTGATATGATTATGAGCAGCAATAAAATGTTCTCGAAAAGTGTGGTCATCAGTAAATATTACTATATAACAAACACTGTGACAGTTTATCAAAATAAATTTTATATATAATAGAGTTATACTCTGCCACCACAGTGCTCAGGTTTTATCCTTATATCGATCCAGATATATTCTATTAGATATCCCTGAGGTTAGATTGATCCATCTCTATCAAAGAGCATGTTAGTTCGTTGAATCAAAAATCGACAGATACCCTTTGTGTACCTCACTGGACGTGTATGTACCAAAGCAGATACATTGGAAAAAGCAGAAAGATGGGCCTATCTTAGATTTTTTTGAGCAGTGCAATCATGAGACTATTTGATTGACAGGGGACCCCAAATAAGCATTTTGAATTACTTTAACAGATATATGCTATTAAACTGTACGGGAACAGCTGTAGATAAATTCGTGTCTTCTATATTAAAAAAACCAAAATAATTGAGCAAAGAATATCCTTTTCGATAATTTTCTCCTCTTCTGGCTCTACAATTACATGTATGTTTATATACAAGAATATTCTAGAATAGTCTCGTCAATAACAATACTGGTGCTTTTTTAAATACAACCGATTTGTTAAGTAAGATCACATTGGAATTACAGTCCACTAAAGATGCATAAATTTTAATAAGAAGTATACAAATGTAATAGTAAACAGAATATCGAATGAAATTAAGGAAATTTTCACAATAAATTGAGGACCATTAGGACCTTGATGGCCGACGTGAGCACCGTGTCTGAACCAACTTCTTCTTTTGGATGCATAAGTAAGCTAGGTTTCTTAATGTGGATCCCAACGGCCTAAGCAATATGTAGAAGACGAGCTCTTAATGTGAAGTTAAGATTTGTTGGTGTGCGGTAGATGACTCTGAAAGTTGCCTCGTTAACATCAATCTTGTGTTCTGTATCCACAAGATGAGACAGAATAGAGCTATGAATTGATTTTGTTTGTCCTTTACTTAACTAACCACGCAGGGTAATGTTCGATGAGAAACAAGCTCAGTTGTACGACCTATGCAACCAAATGGCTCACTCCACAGAGGGAGCAGTCAAATTGTGATAGATACACGCATATAGAAGAGGCGAATTTAGGCAGTTTATCTTTAACTCCCGAACGCAGAGTTTGAAAATCACAGTTTCTAAATATATATATATATATATATATATATATATATATAATATTATATTTCTCACTTAAAATTATCCAGCCGAAGAACGATGGAATTACTATAGTAGCCTTTAGTTGAAGAACACACACAAATTCATTATCAATCAGTTCAGTTACATACATAACTTATGAAGAAACGAACATAAAGCTTGGCAATAAATTCCCTAAAAGAGTCTCTTCTTTAAATACTGTATTCTTCCAATTTATTGTAATCGGAATTGTTTTACGAGTTTCACCACGGATTGATTCATATCAGTTATACAACCATTGAAAGCCAGGGAGTACTGCCAGACCGCTGTTTCATCTGCCTAGTTTGGGAATCATCCGCAGTACGCAGTCAGTATTCATACACTGGCTGGTCAATAAATCGGGCAGGTCCTAGTGAGTGCCCGAATGGTATACAGGCTAGTTGGCCTTGTAACCTGAAGGTCCTGTGTTCCAACCCCCACCCACCCACTATGGTGGGCGCGTACTGCCTATGGCTCCTGTACTAAGACAACTGAAATAGCTTTCTGGCAGTACTCCTGTGGCTGGTTTTCAATGCTTCTCTAACTGATATCAATCAATCGGTAAAACAAAACAATGTCAAATCCTTATAAACCAACTCTTGAAAAGTCATCGAAATTATTAAATCTATATTATTATGCACAGTAACTGTCATAACAATTAAAACAAATACGGTTTCAATACAGAAATTATCAACTTACATTTTCATTCATGATGAATTATTTCACTGAAATGTTTAGAATAATGTATAAAGTGTTGTAAAATTTTTGTCAACTGGATTGTTTAGTATTCTGATCTCACTAAGTTGTATATATATATGTGTATTAATATCTCTCTAATTAACACTATTGAACATTCTTTTCTGGTTTTATAAAACAACCTTGTACAGTGTCTGTGTATGTGTGTGTGTTCGTGATTAAAGTTCAGTGGGATGTGGGGTGCTGAGATTTTAACTTTTTTTTAGAAAATTATATCAAGGGGTTATTCACAAATAGATAACGCCATTTCACAAGAATAATGTACAATCATAATAATAACGATAGTGGTAATTAATTCCTCTGTCTCTCTCTCGCTCTCTGGCTATCTACCTCGCTTCCTCTCTCTCTCTCTGTCTCTTCATCTCGCTTGAATAAAATTATAAACTAGTATCTCTCATTTGTAATCTCAACAACAAAAAATCACCTATCATCTCTAGCCACTCTGCTAGTGGATTTACACCCCTTTGGTTAAACAACATATGGGATATAACGGACAAGTTAGTCCATGTTCTGTTCTACTGCTTCACTTACTACTACTACTCTACTACAACGACAACTGATTTCCTTTTCTGGTATTGGATACATGAAGTCTAAGCTCAATATTGATTGGTCTATTGAACAAACAAAGCTGTAGTATAATGTTTGTTTTATGCGTAGTGAACACAGTGAATGAATACTAAACATCTATTGTTCGCTTCACATGTGATATTTCACACCTCGACACACACATACGCATATACAGAATACTTTTCTTCTTAATTTATCTGACTGATAAAAGCCTTGTACATTGAGGGGATACAGACAAATGTTTGCTATCACGTGTGTTTGTTGGTTTGTTTGTTTGATTGGTTGTATGTTGTACTCTATATTAAAAATAACATGATCCTCTCTTTCCTATATTATAACAAGTGAATTTCTAGCCCAAATATGAATATTTATTTTTAACCAATCAGAAAGTAAGACGTACAATTTCGGAGAGAGAGGTGGTGGATGATGTGGAGTTTTTCACCAAACGATTTCACTTTATGAAAGAAATTATTAGAACAAGATACATGTATAGGCGAATAATAACATTAGTATACAATTGGTGGATGGTGGCTAGCAGTGGAATCCAGGATGCGCATTACGTCCTATTTGGGACTCGTCATCTAGATGTACCTGCATTTCTCAGTGAGTGATTATGCTCCCACCGAGGCTCGAACCCAGTGCCATAGTTTCAAACGCCAAAGCGTTATCCACTAGACGACTTGGGCCACGAGAGCCACCTCTTGTGTAACGGGTCATATTAATTATTGAATTAAATTTTTGACTTTCCCGTCGATTGGGAACATCATCACTCACTGAGAAATGCAGGTACATCCAGCTAACGAGTCCCAAATAGGACGAAATGCGCATCCTGGATTCCACTGCTAGCCACCATCCACCAATTCACTTCTAATTATATGCCCAGACATCGTCGAAGCATCTGCACAAGAAGCCGACATGTCAACCTGACACCGAGCACTTCGGTCCAATCAATCGACGGGAAAGTCAAAAATTCAATTCAATGAATAATAACATTGTCGTTTTCAGTTAGATCTTCTTCAGGCTTTAATTCTAATTTACATAGATTGATATGATTAGTTGGAGGATCTCATCATGAGCTGACATCGGTTGGTTACAGGACCAGCTAGGAGTACTGGATAGCTGTTTCCTCCTCGTAGTTTTGGACTCCTCACTGAATTGGTAGGAGTTAGAAATTATGCACTGGCTGGCAGATGATAGGATCGGGTTGGGTCCAAGTGAGTGGCTTAATGGTCTACCGGCTTACCTTGTAACCGGAGGGTTGTGGGTTCGAACCCCGGTGGGTGCGTACTGATGAAGAGTCTCAACTTAGCATGGAGGAAACTGCTGTCTGGCAGTACTCCGTGTGGCTGGCTTTCCAGTGGTGGTTCTCTAAGTGATGTCAGCTCATGACGAAATCTTCCAACCAATCAAACAAAAAATACCTACAAAACTAATAACTGAAAATTGATTTATATTTAAAAAATTTAGCCAATAACGGTGATTTTGTGGATCTAATAATAATAATGTGGTAAATATTAAGTAATGTTAAAGGTAGGTGAAGTGGACAGATAATCAGAGTTTAAATAAATATCATTAAAGTACGGAGGAAATAGGAAATAAGAAAGACTGGAAGGTTTATTTGAATTAGAATTTACCTAGGCATGCGCGCGCACACGAGAGAGACAAAGGTAGAACAAACTTCTTTTGTCGAGTCAATTCCCATAGCTTCTTCGGCTATGTATTTAACAGGCGGGTTCGAATCCTATTCGAAAGGCTCGATGGAATGCGATAGATAACTTTGAAGGCACTTCTTCTTCTGTCCACTTGGTGACCACTATCATCAATCAAATGAGTGAGAATAGAACTTCTTATATATATTTTTTGGCCTTTACCGAAGCATGAGGGAAGGAAGATGCCCATTCATGGTGCGTTTGTTGAGCTGTCTAGTTGTTCGCCCTATATAGCCAGTTTTCTCCACAGGAGCAACTAAATTTGTAGATACGCATAAGAGAACAGAGATGAACGACAGAAAAATCTAAAAATTCAAGTTTAAATGAAAACAGAGAAACTTTCATTTTCAATTTTGTTACAATTGAGATAATAATGAATATTAAAAAAAAAACAATAGAGGTCAAACTATTGTATTTAGAATTAATGGACATCTGTTTAGAAAATAGTATGCAAAATGTGACAGGAAAAATGAAACACTTCTACTACTACTACTACTACTATTAAACATCCTCTTCTTTGAAGAGTAAAAGGTTCTAATCAGAAAGCGACATCTTACTATGATGTATCAGTATAATGTATCAGGAAAAAGTTGAAAATTTGAAAAACAGTTTACAATTGTTAATTCATTATATTTAAAACCAATGTTTTTTTCGAATTTCATCACAAACTGATATCAGAGAACCACTGAAAACCAGACACAAAGCGTACTACCGGACAGTTGTTTCATCGGGCTAGTTTAGAAATCATCGTTAGTACGCACCGACCCCAGTTGGGTTCGAACTCACAAATTTCTGGTTGCAACGCGAGCTAGCTAGTAGATCATAAAGCCACTTTCAGGGAACCGATTCAGTGGCCAGCCAGTGCATGAGTTCCAACTTTTGCCCATTCACGCACGACATAGCACGATTACTTCGTAATGTCTTCTCCGATGAGTAACTGCCCTCACCTTCAACCTGCTGTAATCTACACGTCACGGCTTCACACTAGAACCCCAAATAACTACCTGCGTGAATAGGGCGAGTGGCTAGTGAGCATCAGCTCCTAGTTGCTTAGTGGTCTACGAGTTAGTTCGTCTTGCAACCAGAAGTAGCTAGGTTCGAACCCCACTGTGGTGGGTGCGTACTGATGAAGAGTCTGAAACTAGAACGAAGGAGCTGTCCAGTTTAAGATCAGTTCGGAAATCTAATACACTCTGTACAAAGAACAAAATTCGGATTTCCAACATCATTGTCAAGTAAGTTCTTGTATATCAGTCAGAGACTTAGTTTAATCATCACGAAATCTGTTTCTAACAAGTAAGTGCAAACTGTAATCGGTAGTTGCCTCCTTTACTCCATACTAAAGACGAGGTGACCAGCGAAAAACAAACAGAAACAAGAGACTTTTGGAATGAACTAGTCAAGAATCTACTACCAAAGTGAAAAGAATTCCAGAAAACAAAAAGTAGATGGGTCAAACCCACTGTAAGAAAACCACTGGATGATACCACGCTCAATGCAGGCCATCTCTCAAGTGGAATCCAAACGCGAAATGATGAGTTGGGCGTGGGTCTGAGGGAGTTGATCATGGAGGAGATCATATGAGGAGCAGATGGCAGCTTATGGACAGTTGTGGAACCAGTGAAGAGGACTTCAAGAAACAGGACAACGTGGAGATAGTCTGTTAAAGTGTCGTATGTTCCACTCGGAACCCCAAGGAATCATTATTATTATTGCTCCCTTGGGTTCCTAGTGGAACATAGCGCTTCAACTGCACGTCTCCACTCGCCACTTCTGTCTTCTGCTGTACTTTTCGCCTGCATCCATGTTAGTCCATACTCTTTCAACTCCTCTTCATACGATCTCCTCCATGTCACCCTTGCACTGACGTCCCACTCACCGCTTCCCTTTCATGTTCCACTCGAGCGAGGGCTTGACGCGCGATGTCACCCAGCGGTCTCCTCAGCGAGTGTCCGATCCATCTCCACTTTCTCCTGCATATTTGTTGGGCGATTGGTTCTTGCTTTGTTTGTTCCCATAATTCCTTGTTGGTGATTCTTTCCGGAATACTGATAACAATAAACCATATAAGCAGATACCACCTTCATGTTATCATCACATTAGTTTACAATTCACTTTTAGACTGACCAACAAACTTGCAGAAGAAGCAGGCAGACAGGACTCCAAGTGAACATAGAGAAGATGGAGACGAGATGATGAAGATAAACAACCAACCACCACTACCACCACCACCACCAACAGTAACAACAACAATGATAATAATAACCAACACCAATCACAACCAACGGGAGAGAGTTAACAAAGGTTACTTCGTCAACCCGAAACCAGTTTGGAAATCTTCTGAGCTGCTTTCCACCTCACCATAAACAACAAGAATCGGATTGTATTCAACACAGATGTCAAGTTGGTCAGTTCTTCTATACGGGTCAGAAACTTGCATTGCACATGTGTCGTGAAAGGGGTTTCCGACAGCTGGTTGCAGACTTTTATCAACAGCTGCCCACTTTGATGGCTGGCTGGCTGGCTGACTTGGTGGTTGCATACTGAAGATCAAATGGCCAGCTGGCCGGCCGACCTGCGAGAAGGAATTAGCAACAAGACGGCCTGCCTTGCGCGTGATATCATCCGATGATCTTCTTCCTCAATGTGTATGCCCGAACAATCCATCTCCATTCCTTCCTACATATTTGTTGATCAGTCGGCTTTTGGTTGATTCGTTCATTGCAAGAGTTTCTTGTTACTAATATATATATATATATCGATATGTGGCTGACCTACACACACACATTTGTGATCATGAAAAATCAACAAACATCCTTGACAACTTCAGTGATGAGTATTCAGCAATAAACTTCACCGTTGAGAATGAAACAAATAATGACAGTATCTCATTCCTAGACGTCTTTCTAACCAGGAAAGAGGATAGGACAGCAAGGAGGAGTGAATATAGGAAACTCTACAATGACTGGTCAGTGCATTAATTTTTTGAGTTCTGCACCTCTGAAATGCAGACGTAACTCAGTAAAGAGTTTTTGGTTTATAAAACTAGGATGAAGTGTTCAGACGACTCTCTCAATGAGGAGTTTAAGATTATCGGAGAATTACTTCGTAAAAATGGTTATCCAGATAAGTTCATTGATAAAAACAAGCAAGTAAGTCAGCTGCTACCAAAAAGCCCTTGTTTGTAAAACTGCCGTTTCTTGGCAATAACATCAGCGAAAAAGTAACACAAAGTCTAAAAATGTGGCTAAAAGATCATTCAGTGCAGTAGAGATACTCTGTATTTTCACAACCACTCCGATGTTACATTCGAGAAATAAGAACTATCTAATTAATTCCGACTTCTGTACGTGTATCTACCTGTTTAACTGCTCCTGCGAAGCTAGTCATATTTGGGTTACAATTAGGCAAATTCATCATCGTATTTCCGAAGATCCTCGTGCATAGTGGTGGTTAAGGAAGGGACAAACAAGATCTTTCAGTAGCTCTGTTTTAGCACACCCTGTAGATAGATAGTGAGCAAGTTATTTATCGTATTCCTACTGGTCTTAATTTTGCCTTACGAGTTCGTCTTCTAGATACAACTGAGGCTATCAGGATTCGCTGGAAGAAGGCAAGCTTGTGTGTATTCAGAAGAAATTCATGCGGCAGCTTTTCTTACCTTGGCCATCATTACATCAATGGAAAAACCTGACAATTTAGCCACCTCCAAGCCTTTTAAAAGTTATCATTGTCGAAATTATTTTATTTTTCTAATCACTTCATCTTCAGTTACTTTTTACCTAATAAACTGGGACACTACTTTTTCCATAATATTAGTTACATGATTTCATCATGAGCTGACATCGGCTGGTTAGAGTACCACCATTGGAAAGCCAGCTACATAGAGCACTTCCAGATACCTGTTTCCTCTGTCCTAGTGCTTGGGGTGGACTGGCTCTATACCAGCTCACACCCACCCACCACAACACAATCGGGTCCCAACCCACCACCGTCGCGTCACAAGTTGAGCTGGCTCTTAGATCATTAAGCAGACACTCACTGGCACCCGACCCGATCGAATGACGAGCCAGCCAGCCAGTCCATGAATTCCAACTTGTCCCAATTCACGCACGACATAGCGCGACGACTAGCCAGTGTCATCGGTGGAGAGTATTTGCCTTCACATCCGAGCTGCTGTACCCTACTGGTTACAACTCCCGACTAGAACCCCAGATAACTACCTACCTAATTAGGGCCAGTCGCTACTGAGCATCTAATTGATATTCAGGTATTGGTTTGCAGGAATTTGACTGATTGGTTAGAGGATTTCATTATAAGCTGACATCGGTTAGAGAACCATTGAAAAACCAGCCACAGGGAGTACTGGACAGCTGTTTCGTCCTAGTTTGGAACTCTTCATCACTACGCACCCATCGGGGTTCTAACCGATGTCAGCTCATAATGAAATCCTGTAACCAGATTTATACTTATTTATTATTTCACAGTGAAGTCATTTTATTCATTGTCTTAAAGAGGGTTGTTCAACGTACTGATATGAGGAGGTTTGTGGTAGTATTTAACTATAGAGAGTACATATAAACACGTCTCATTACGGAAGTGATGAAGATAACGAAACAATCAACAACGACAACAATTACAAGTACCAATCAACGGAATACATTTGAAAGAGGTCATTTCCCTCACTTATCTGGGTAGAATCGTTTCAGTGACAGGCGATAAAGCGGATGGAGATATGAAAACAAGAATTGAAGAGGCAATTCAGACCTTCATCACCCTGAAATTATTGGGATTACCTTCTAAAATTAGAATGAACAATATAATTTGGATTTTTTTCAACACCAGTGTCAGATGAATCACTTCTTCTGTGTGATTCAAAAAAATGGCGTGTACGCCATCAAGAAGTATTTCCAACAACTGCCTTTGATGGATCCGTACTGCAGACATAATGGCCTGTCGGAAAGAATTGGCAACAAGAAACTCTGGGATCAAACCAATCAAGAACCTAGTACTCAAAAAATATTCCGAAGAAAATGAAGATGAATTGGACGCATACCTGAGGAGACCGTTGTGTTGCATCCCTCTATAAGACGTTTTCCGAGTGGAACGTGAATGGGAAATAACGAGTTGGGCGTGGGTCGGAGAGTGACACAGAGTAGATCGTGTGAGGAGGAGATGAAAGCTTATGGATGATCATGGCAGTCAGGCAAAGGGGACTGCAAATAATTGCAGGAAGAAGTGGAGATGTTCTACTGAAGCTCTATTTTCCATTCGGATGACATTTTTTTTTCTCATTAGTTTACATTCCCAGTGGAACATAGGGTGACTTCAAGCTGAAACTTTTTGAAGTTTCGGTAGCAGTGGTGTCTATAATTTTGTTTCGGGATAGGTTGCTGTTAGCCCGATGTCTAACCTTCCCTCTTTACCAGTTTTATTACTGGCCTCGGATTGAACCCTAAACCACATAGGGGGACGTGGTTGGTGGCGAGCATTCTACTGCTCTGCCACCAACACAGAACATTATCAGGGCGAGGCGCTGGCATATAGCATACAGCCTTCTTCAAACTTGCACACAACCATTACATCACATACTGTACCATTGCCCTTGGCGAATCTGGCAACAAAAGTTACTAGAACACCACCAGAGCATATGGCAGGAGTACCAAGGAATAATAATAGTAATAATAATTATTGATACCTCTTTACCTGAACACTTATGTCAGTGTTTGATGTTATCTTTACTGCACTATATGAACCAAAGTTTCTCCTCAGTTATTCTTATTTTCTTTAACTTTATTGCGAATATATTCATATATGTAGTGCAGGTATAGACCTGACCTTTCAGTGTGACTTCATTTCTCACTGTATTTTTATCTATGAACTCTGAATGTCGGAAAGATATTCACGACTGTTGATATCAGTTTTATTTGTATGAGTATCTTATTTTCTGCCCACCAGTTTTCTTTCATTTCTGACATTTGATAAATATTATAAATATTGTATTGTTCGCTTACCCTTAATTATGCGCAAATAAGTGTAACAATTTTAACAAGCCCATAACAAATGTTGCCTAATTCACCAAGTTAATAAGTTCAACTTAAACATAACCCTACAATAAACAGTCTATTTAAATGAAATGAGTTATCTGCCTATGGTTAAACTCCAACAGTCCTTACAGAGAAAACAATAAAGAAGTGATTTAGATCAATCTTATAAACAAACGACTTGAAAGTAAAACGAAGAAAGAGAAGGGTAGAACAATTAATATCAATAATTTTCATCTTGACTGTTGTGTTTATAAAACAGCGAGATTATCATAAGCAAACTTGGCGAATTCTCAGCTATTGGCAATGTTGTATTATATTATGCGATAGTTTCTCATTAATTCATTAATTGATTACCTACCTACCTACCTACCTACCTACCTACCTACCTACCTACCTACCTACCTACCTACCTACCTACCTACCTACCTACCTACCTACCTACCTACCTACCTACCTACCTACCTACCTACCTACCTACCTACCTACCTACCTACCTACCTACCTACCTACCTACCTACCTACCTACCTACCTACCTACCTACCTACCTACCTACCTACCTACCTACCTACCTACCTACCTACCTACCTACCTACCTACCTACCTACCTACCTACCTACCTACCTACCTACCTACCTACCTACCTACCTACCTACCTACCTACCTACCTACCTACCTACCTACCTACCTACCTACCTACCTACCTACCTACCTACCTACCTACCTACCTACCTACCTACCTACCTACCTACCTACCTACCTACCTACCTACCTACCTACCTACCTACCTACCTACCTACCTACCTACCTACCTACCTACCTACCTACCTACCTACCTACCTACCTACCTACCTACCTACCTACCTACCTACCTACCTACCTACCTACCTACCTACCTACCTACCTACCTACCTACCTACCTACCTACCTACCTACCTACTACCTACCTACCTACTACTACTACTACCTATACCTACCTACCTACTACTACTACCTACCTACCTACCTACCTACCTACCTACCTACCTACCTACCTACCTACCTACCTACCTACCTACCTACCTACCTACCTACCTACCTACCTACCTACCTACCTACTACCTACCTACCTACCTACCTACCTACCTACCTACTACCTACCTACCTACCTACCTACTACCTACCTACCTACCTACCTACCTACCTACCTACCTACCTACCTACCTACCTACCTACCTACCTACCTACCTACCTACCTACCTACCTACCTACCTACCTACCTACCTACCTACCTACCTACCTACCTACCTACCTACCTACCTACCTACCTACCTACCTACCTACCTACCTACCTACCTACCTACCTACCTACCTACCTACCTACCTACCTACCTACCTACCTACCTACCTACCTACCTACCTACCTACCTACCTACCTACCTACCTACCTACCTACCTACCTACCTACCTACCTACCTACCTACCTACCTACCTACCTACCTACCTACCTACCTACCTACCTACCTACCTACCTACCTACCTACCTACCTACCTACCTACCTACCTACCTACCTACCTACCTACCTACCTACCTACCTACCTACCTACCTACCTACCTACCTACCTACCTACCTACCTACCTACCTACCTACCTACCTACCTACCTACCTACCTACCTACCTACCTACCTACGTGTTTATACATATGCGCAACTCGTAACTGTTATTTTGATTTATTTTCTCTTTTATCGTGAAATCTGTCTTCACATCTTGGATAAAATTTTTTCCGTGGATATGGTGTGGGTGTCTTTTGTCGTTTAGTTGATTGTTGTTGTTGGTTGCGTTGTATATGTTTATACGCTTGTTCATTATGATGAAATGGACGGATAGTTTTATTATATCCTTTCATATCAGAATGATGTGTATCTCCAAAATAAGGAATTCTTCCCGTACCCTATAGAGGCGGTACGAGATAAATATTCCCTTGAAATGGTTGATATTGTTGCAGCATTTCATTTTTACCATAATAAACGCTTGAATAAGATGTTGATGAGGCGATTTGATTGATTAATGATTGAGAATCTAGTTGATGTTTAGGCAATTTATATCCATATGAAATCATTTGGTATTGAGCCTGCAATCCTTTACTTCCGACTGTATCATCACTAACAAATTGAAGATACGGCTGGACAGAATTCGACATAAATATATTCCGTTACTAAAAACAAACAAGTAAAACAAAAAGTTTGAGTAAATAAAAGAGACATAATACAGGAATGTTAAAACATGGCCATCCATGAAATGTAAACTCACAACTGACTTCTTTCCTGAAGAAGATCCTGTACATGAATGTGGAGTTCATTGTGACGACCTTCTGGCTGACATCTTTAAGAGAAGAGTATCTAACTCCCTGAGAATAACATTCTCTGCTGTTACATGACAATTGATAATCTCAAGCAGCCCAAATATAAACTATTGCATTTGACCACTTCTCTGTGTATCTACCTACCAACTTACTTGCTCATGTGGTGTGAACGAGATATATATAGGTCGTTGGATGCGTGTTTTATCCGGAAGAGTCAAAGAAAACTAACCCTCTTGGCTACGAAAAGGTAACAGTTGATCAATAAACAGTGCTATAATTGAACATATAGTCAACACTAGTCACTCAATATGTGTAAGGAGAATTCATTCAAAATCATCTACAAAGTCCAAAGAGGCCTCCAGTTGAAAATGGTAAGCTTCCCCGTACTTTGCATTGCTCAGTGAAGCCTTAGCGTTTCGGATACAGAACCTTGATCTATGCACATAGAAGAAGAAACTTCTCCACCCCTCCTTCTACCTTGGGTATAATTCCAATTTATATGACTGTTAATAATGTTTGGTTTCCTTTTTTGAATTTTTGTATTGCATCTAAGTAACATTTTCTTCTTAACCAACCCTTTATTCACTCTTTCTACCTATTACATAATTTATTTTTGGACATGTGTACCCATTATCATCCTATTTCATATTACGCAACCCTTGTCAATGCTTACCAATCTTCCCCCAATGTTACAATTTTGATTCTTCATCACATCTTAGAAACATTTGGATGACATAAACAGTAACCCTAACTAATTTTTATTTGATAGTCCTAATGTACACACACACGCACACACACAAAAAATAATTATGTATAAATGCGAGTGTACAGCTAAGTGAATGAATTCGCCTAAAAGAGACTCTTCGCTGAACTTTGTTGTTCTTATATTTATGTCTGGATGGGTATTTTCCATGAATAACCTCAAAGCGAATAGTCGCATTAAAAAAACACATTTTCCTCTGAATTGACTTAAAAATATCTTCCAGCTAAAATGAAGCGTATCAGTTTTTTGGTTTAAACCAATTTTATACATGTATTCATCAAGATGACTGAAGATGAATTCTTTTTGTAACATATTCATCCTTATAATCTTGTTTTCCAGTCTTCCTCGATTAAATTAGTGCAACTACCAGTAGGTTGTGGGGGTCGATAATAAAAATAAACACCTTAACTCCTGATCCCAAACGCGAACGTAACCCAGACAAGCAATCAAACGATTATCCAAAAGGTAAATTAAGAACGAAATCGAGATGAAATTTTCATCTCAACTGGTGCACAGTGTTCATAGTGGCGCTGCAATAATGTTAGGTGTTAGGTCCTGCTATCTAACGAATAGTATACATTCATTGGTGCATTCGCACTCCTGGATCGTTATGCTAAAACATGGGCTAAAGATGTTGTCCAGAAGGACGACAAAAGCTTCATAATTAAACCAATAAGCTCAGAGAACTCAACTAATTCCAAATCATCCACCTGAGCTACAAATCTTCTCTATTATTTCAGAATGTGAATTTATCACAAATGAAGTGAAATCATTACTTAAACTAGGAGATTTCGAGCAGGCCAGTGTAAACTTTCATCAACATCTGCCCCCTTCACTTTATATTGAAGATTAGATGACCAGAAAGAATTAGTAACCAGGATCTCTGAGGTGGAAAGGACCATTCAAAAACATATTGCTCAACAAATATGTAGAAGGAAATGGAGATGGATAAGACACACACTAAGCGGATCATTGAGTGATATCATATTCCAGGCCTTGCAGTGGAACCTGAATGGGAAATGATGGGTTGGACGGGAGTCCCAGGGTGACATGGAGTATATAATAGTGTAACGAGAAGATGAAAGTTCATGGGCAGCTGAAAGGTCAACTAAAGAGGACTGCAGAGAACAGGCAAAATGCAGATAGGCTGATGAAGCCTTATGTTCCACTGGGACCGTAAAGGAAAAAAAGCCTATAACACTATTTCTTATATTTAGAAATGTGAATGTGATCAACGCGAGATTGTTCAAAATCATTTCCTTCTGATACTTCTTTCTGCTTTTAGGGTGTATATTCATATTACTTGGACAAGATGAGACAACATTCTGTTTTGTATCATGATCCCCACCTCCATCATTACTGTTAATGCATCATATAGCAAATTAATATTCTTACTTTCAAATTTAATCACGAAATAATGTCAGTCAGAGGATCACTGAAAACCAAGGAATACTGGACAGGGCTACTTCGTCCTAGTTTAAACCTCTTTGGCAGTACACACCTATGAGCCAACTAGTAATCAGACCTAGGACCTTCTAGTCACAAGGAAACCTCGTAGACCATTCAACCGATCTGACCTGATCTGATGGCCAGTACATGAATTTCAACTTCTACAGATTCGTAAAGTATTTAGCGCGACCACCAGCCAATGTCATCCGCGGCGAGTATTTGTCTTCACACCCCAGCTGATGGACACGAGTAGTCACGACTTCTCAATAGAAGTCTCTTCAGCCAACTTCTTTCTGTAACCAGTGGCTAGCCAGCATCAGATTAATTTTCAAGAGTTAGGTTGGCTGTTAGTCACGGTAAAATCACAAACTGATAGAGGTTATAAATCATGCAGTGGTCATTGAGTCAGGTCCCAGTGAGTGGCTGAATGGTCTACGAGCTTGCCTTGTAACTGGAAGGTCCTTAGTTGGAATCCGAGCGGTAAGCGCGTGCTGTCGATGATTCCTCATATAGAAAGAAACAGCTCTGTCCGAATACACCCTGGATTCCAATGATTCTCTGGCTAATATTCTTATGAAATTATGGTGCACCTGACTGAAAAAATATCCAATCATTTTAGAATAGCATGAAAATTTATCCAATGTATAATTCACGTATGATAAGCATTGAACGACATATAACTTGTTCGATTGGTTACAAGATTTTATCATGAGCTGACATCGGTTAGAGAAGCGTTGGAAAATCAGCCACACAGATTACTGCCAGACACCTGTTTCCTCCGTCCTAATGCTGGGGCTGGACTGCCTCCACACCAGTACGCACCCACCCACCCACCCACCACAACACAATCGGGTTCGAACCTACCACCGTCGCGTCACAAGTTGAGCTGGCTCATAGATCATTAATCAGCCACTCACTGGAACCCGACTCGATCGAATGGCCGGCCAGCCAGCTAGCCAGCCAGTCCATGAATTCTAACTTGTCCCAATTCACGCACGACATAGCGTGACCACTAACCGGTGTCGAGTACTTGTCCTCACGCCCGACCTTGTAACCAGGAGGCCTTAGGTTCGAACCCAGGTGGGTGCGTACTAATGAAGAGCCCCAAACTAGGACGAAACAGCTATCTGGTAGTACTGCCTGTGGCTGGTTTTCTAAAGGTAGTTCTCTGACCGATATCAGTGCTCATGATGGAATCCTACAACCAACCAAATCAAACAAAATCCCTACAAACCAATACTTGACAATATGATGTGTTTGTCTAGTCACTCCCCAAAAAGATAATAGTCATCAGATATAAACATAACGATTAAATGACAACAGTCATCATAATCTCTCCTTCAAAGTTACTATGTGAAATTAAATTTCTCTGAAAATCTTATATATTTTATTCCCACAAATGACTGAAAAAAAGGAATGAACACTAATCACATTTTATGTCGATTTTTCGATAACGATATGTAGTTATCCTCTTAAAAGTGAATAAATTTATTGCCTTCCTTAATCACTAAGACAGCTAAAGTACTGATCATGACATTAACACCAGTTCTATAAAAAAACAAACACAAAAAACAGGTTGACTGAATGAATAATTTTCATTTTTCTAATTACTTTATAGACTCATCTAGCAGATAAATTAACATTGTCTATACTTGTGTCACAATTAAAAAAAAGAGGAATTATATGGAATAAAGAAGTTTGTATTTGAAAGATGCATTGAGAGGAGGCATAAAGCACTTTGTCAAATTGTGTGTTAGATCAAAGGCCTGGTTATAAATCACATAACATTTGCTCATTGTTTTAATACTCTTGAGATGAAATTTTAATGAATGACAATTCCTTGTGTAGTAGTAGCAGTAGTCAAAAGAATGACTTGACCAGAATTGACGATCATAAGCTTTAAAACAGCAATCCACCTCATCATCATCATATGTCAGTAAAAACTTTTGACAGTGTCTGTGTAGTCAAGCTATTCAAATACTGTGAAAGTTACAGTAACTAGGCCTAAATTGATTCATAGACGACTTGATATATATATATATATATATATATATATAGGCTTGTTTAATGACAGTGTGAATTTGTATAGGAGTTGGGATGTCTGTGTGAGTGTGTCAGGGGGGCAGAATGGTGGGAGTTCCTAACCTCTTTTCATCCTCATCAACATCATCAACGCATTAACGTGGTCAATGAATTTAATAATTAAAGCAACACAAAGTTTACAATGTGTGACCATAGCAAGTAATCGCATTAACTACTTAAGAATACATAAGACATAGATAGGCACCTTTATTGTCAATATATTCTAATTGTTTACGGATATCAGTTTTTCAAGTATTGGGAATTGGATATCAGTTTGTCGATTAGCCCTACAGATTGTGCGTATACAAAGCTCTGCATATGTATTGAAATAATAAAATTCTATGATATTTATGTGCGTCAAGTAATGTCTAGATTTTTATCTACCATCGAGGCAAGAAGCACAAATCCAGTGTACTTATCTCTTATAATAATAAACAACGTTTCTAAGATAGGTAGACAAAACATTTATTTATTTGTTTACGATAGTCGTATAAAAATTAAAAAAAAAATTATTGTGTTTGATTCTTCCGTCTGACAAAAATAA